AGCTCTAAGACTATGGAACTCCTCTGTAGCTCTCTTTCTTTTCTTTCTGAGCCTCCCCAGAATTGCCTTCAATGTTCATATTTCTAACAACAGTCTCTTCAAAGTGATCAGCATGCACCTCAGAACTCTTCTAGCCTCTGTCCATTACCAGTTGAAAAGCCATTTCTACATTTTTAGGTATTGTTACAGTAGCATTACACTTCCAGCACCAATGTCGTATTAGGAAGGAAGAAAATAAGAAAAACTAAGACAAAAGGCTTTTTAAAAAAGTTGTGTTGCCGGGCGCGGTGCTCATGCCTGTAATCCTAGCTCTCTGGTAGGCCGAGGCGGGCAGATTGCTCGAGTCAGGAGTTCGAAACAGATTGAGCAAGAGCGAGACCCTGTGTCTACTATAAAGAGAAGAAATTAATGCCAACTAATATATAGAAAATGAGCTGGGCGTGGTGGCGCATGCTATAGTTCCAGCTACTTGGAGGCTGAGGCAGAAGGATTGCTTGAGCCCAGGAGTTAGAGGTTGCTGTGAGCTAGGCTGAGCCACGGCACTCACTCTAGCCTGGGCAACAAAGTGAGACTCTGTCTCAAAAAAAAAAACAAAAAAGTTGTGTGCCCCACTGTGGCTTGTCATTCAATATTTTTTCTCCTTCATCAAACTTTACTTAAAGAGTGGTCTAATTTTCTACTATCCTTACCACTCAGTCACCTGAAATGTGTGAGTTGCCTTTTTTTGTTAACTTTTTTTATTCCTGGTTGATGGGTCAACCACCTAACCCACCTCACTCAGGTTAAATATCTACATGCTGTCTACCTCCTTCTACCCTAGCCTTTCATCCCTGCATGTCTACATTAAGTCACCATGCCTTGCTGTTGTCCTTAAATATTTCATGATTTCTCTTCTTTCTTCCTGCCATTGCCAGCCTACTCTAGATCCTCATTATTTCTTGTTTAAATTACTGTTTCCAGCTTCTAAACATTCTCCCTACATCTAGTCTCGCATCTCTCTCTCATCCAGGTTTTGGCAACATGGCCCTCAGACTAAATCTGCCTGCCACCTTTTTTGTATGGCTGTGAGCCACAAGAATGATTTCACATTTTGAATGGTAGAAAAATGTTTAAGAATAATATTATTACACATATATATTACATGATATTCAAATCAGTGTTCATAAAGCTTTTTGGAATACAGTCACACTCATTTGCTTTGAATTTTTTTCTCTTTTCCTTTCCTTTCCTCCTTTCGTCTCACTCTGTTGCCTGGGCTAGAGTGCCGTGGCATCAGCCTAGCTCACAGCAGCCTCAAACTCCTGGGCTCAAGCGATCCTCTTGCTTCAGCCTCCCAAGTAGCTGAGACTACAGGCATGCACCACTATGCCAGCTAATTTTTCTATATGTTATTTTAGTTGCCAATTAATTTCTTTCTATTGTAGTAGAGACGGGGTCTCGCTTTGCTCAGGCTCGGTTCAAGTCTGACCTTGGGCGACGTGATCCTCCCGTCTGGGCCTCCCAGAGTGCTAGGATTACATGCGTGGCCATGGCGCCTGCCTGCTTATTATTTTCTACTCATTTTCATGCTATTATACAAAGATAGAATTGAGTAGTTACATCAGGGACATTATGGCCTGTAAAGCCTAAGTATTTATTAATACTACCTGGCCCTTTTACAGTAAAGGTTTGTGGACCCTTGCTTTATTAGTTGCTTCCAAATCCAACATGCTTGGGCCTGATGAGACAGTAAAGACACTAATTCAGTGAGAAGATTGACTCTACTTATGGAATAATGTGTAATATGAGAGCTGCAAGTATGAGACTATACTATAGAATATGTCTGTTGGCATCGCAGATATCACAGCAACAATTTATCAGCAGGGGGGGGGTGGATTTCATTGAGCAACAAAAAGAACAGTGAAGTCTCATCCATTTTCTAAAGTAATCATATCCTAAAAAATCTCAGTGTGTTTTTAAAAACCATGCAAATGGGCTTAACATTTGGCATATAGGCAAGATAGGTTCTAGCTTGGGTAAACAAACGAGGTCTTTCCCAACATGAAGTCTGGTAGGATTTCAAAGTCATGAGGAAGGGACAGTTTTTCTTTAGGTGAAATGTTCTGCAACAGTAGAATGTCCAACAACTGTGGTTCTCACCTACCTGAATCTCCATAATGCTGCCAATCACTGTGATGGACCATAAAATGTCCCTCCAACATTTTCAAAATGCCGCCCTAAGACGGTGTTAACCATTTCCACTGAAAACCCTCTCTAATTCATCTTTGCCAAAGCCAACTAAGTGATTCTCTTTAAAGTGCATATTTGACCTTATTATCCCACAGTTTTTATAAGCCTTTAATCCCACACTGCCTTTTATATACCAGTGATTTTTTCAACTGCTTTCCAATATGAACATCTCTGTAGTAATTGCTTAAAGGACTCATGATCTGGTTCCTCCTTATCTCCTTGCTTGTACTATTATGTGCCAGTAAATACTTTAATAGCACTTGATAATCTCACACACACACACCTTGTTGTTTCTTCTTTTTTTACTTAGCTCATGTTGTCACTTGTTCCTGGAATCACCCTTCCCCTTTCTACCAAAAAACAAACAGAAATCCCTCTATAAAATACAGTTAAATCCATATCGTTTTGTCTGTGCTAGCACACACACACACACACACACACACACACACATATACAGATCAAATGCATGTACATACACCATAGCTCCCATGGCTTCTCTCTTTTATTGCACTTAACATATAATTTGTGTTTGTGTCTGTCTTCCACAATGGGCAGAGTTCCTGCAGTGCCTGAATAGTTTCTTTTACTCACTTTGGCTTCGCTAGCCATGACAGTTCTCACTCAGTAGTTGATTGAATGGAAAGAATTGAGTGAATGAGTAACTGAATGAATAAAAGATTATTATTAGTTCTCAGACAGCACAGTATTTATATCTGTACTAATAAAGTGAAATGCTAAGGCCGGGCGCTGTGGCTCACGCCTGTAATCCTAGCTCTTGGGAGGCCGAGGCGGGCGGATTGCTTCAAGGTCAGGAGTTCAAAACCAGCCTGAGCAAGAGTGAGACCCCGTCTCTACTATAAATAGAAAGAAATTAATTGGCCAACTAATATATATATAAAAAAAATTAGCCGGGCATGGTGGCGCATGCCTGTAGTCCCAGCTACCCGGGAGGCTGAGGCAGAAGGATCACTCGAGCCCAGGAGTTTGAGGTTGCTGTGAGCTAGACCCATGGGGCATCCTCTACCTGGGCCAACAAAGCAAGACTCTGTCTCAAAAAAAAAAAAAAAAGTGAAATGCTGTAAGAGGGAAGATTAATTCTGTTTTGGGAATGATGAGAGGAGCTGATGGAAAGTTTATTGAGGAAGTAGTTCCTGTGCTACCTGGAAGACTAGATAACACAGTGGTTTTGGAGAGAGCATTTGAAGTAGTCATTTGTAACATTCTTGTGCCCTCACTTTATTGTCATCAAGTTTTTCTATAGTGTTATTATTTTTTCCCTTTTATTCTTTCTCTTTCTTTGACTAGATAATTGACATTGTTCTGAAATTAGACCACCTACTCTGAATAATTTGCGAATTAAAATTTGCTGAACCAGGAAGGGACACGCCCACAAGCTGATTTGTGGGTTTTTTTTTTTTTTTTTTTTGAGACAGAGTCTCACTTTGTTGCCCAGGCTAGAGTGAGTGCGTGGCATCAGCCTGGCTCACAGCAACCTCAATCTCCTGGGCTCAGCGATCCTACTTCTCAGCCTCCGCTGAGTAGCTGGGACTACAGGCATGCGCCACCATGCCCGGCTAATTTTTGTATATATATTTTTAGTTGATCAATTAATTTCTTTCTATTTTTGGTAGAGACGGGGTCTCGCTCAGGCTGGTTTCAACTCCTGACCTTGAGCAATCCGCCCGCCTCGGCCTCCCAAAGTGCTAGGATTACAGGCGTGAGCCACCGTGCCCGGCCATTTTTGTGGGTTTTTTAAAAGTTACATCTCAAAGGCATTAGAGCCACTAATACTAGTTTCAGTATGGAGAGGGTTTTTTTCTTTTGTCTGTGTTATTCAAATCACACCAATAATTGAGTCTGATAGACAGGTTTAAAATGTGTACCAAAAATAGGTCTGTAAGAAATACATCCTTGATTTTGTACAATTAGGTATCAGACTTTTATTACCCTTTGTAACTTTTACTGAACTGAAAGCATAAAGAAAATCTGGAAACAATTGTTAGTATTGGAAAGAAAATGAAATTGTGAGTCTGTCTTAAATCGTTGTTTCTGTTTCCTGTGAATTTACCTGACTGTCCTGGCAAGAACTTTGTTTACAAGCAAACTGTGCTAGTGTCTGCAGGGTCTGTCGGTACCCCTCAAAGCCAAGTCCATTAAAGATCCATGTCTTTGCTCTCAAAACAAAAAAAGAAATACATCCTTGGATCTTCATTTAAAGGCTAGATAGTTTTCCTGTGCAAAAAACGAGGTCTGTAAAAAAAGAAAAAAATAAAGGCTAGATAGGCAGGGCTTGGAGGGTTGCACCTGTAATCCCAGCACTTTGGGATGCCAAAGCAGGAGGATCGTCAGAGGAGTTCCACATCAGCCTGGGTAACATAGAGAAAGCCCTATCTCTACAAAAAAATAAATAATTAGCCATGGGTGGCATGTGCCTGTAGTCCTAGCTACTCGGGAGGCTGAGGCAGGAGAATCGCTTGAGCCCAGGAGTTTGAGATCGCCATGAGCTACGATTAGGCCTCTGCACTCCAGCCTGGCCAACAGAGCACAGACTCTGTCTCTCTGAGAAAAAAAAAGTTGTTTGAAAATAGGTTTATGGCTAGTGTGAATACAGTGACATAATTAAATACTCATGCAAATTTATTTGATCCTTTTAAATTGAGCTTAATGGAGAAATACTGGTGGAGACCACAGTATTAAGCTTATTCTTTTTTTTTTTCTTTTCCCAAAACTCTAGTAGTGTTATGTCTTAAACGTTTTGTTACTTCTTTCAGTATAGACTATGGTCGAAGAAAAAGAAATGCTTTTCGGATTCAGGTAGAAAAAGGTGAGTCTTTCAGTGTTAGTACTAAATTATCAATAAAGCTATAGAAAGAATTATTTTAGCTCATGTCATTTTTCTTTTTATTTCAGCATTTAGCATCATTAGTAGTGAGAAAGAATTTAAAAATCTAACAGAATTAGAAGATGAACATTTGGCTAAAAGAGCAAGACAAGGTGAAGAGGATAATGAGTAAGCATTACAAAATGGAGCTTTTTCCTAACACACCAGCCTAATCATGTTATATTCCTACTTGTAAAACTTTTCAGTGGCTCTTCATTTCCAAGATGACCTTGCATGATACTTACCTGACCTTTGGCAGACCTTTATTTCAGCCATACTGAATTTTCATTATTGCCCGAAAGAGGTCAGATTCTTTCTTTGGATGTGCCTTTGTATGGGTGATTTTCGATAGCTGGAGTATTCATTTCCCTTTCATAAACTCCCCACTCAGCCTTCAAGAGTCAGTTGAAATGTTATTGCCTTTGTTGCGCCTTCCTAGACTCTGTTTTCAGTGTTTCTTTAGCTTCTAGTTACAGATATTTATAATCCTTATTATATCATATGGCATTGAAATTATTTGTTTTCTTGTTTGCGTTACCTGGAGAAGTGTTTCATTATCTTTGTTTTTTTCTGCCCTAATACAACCTGAGTACATAAAAATGTCCAAATTAATTTTGTTGTTTACGAAATATTGTCTGGGCTCCATGGCTCATGCCTGTTATCCTAGTACTTTAGGAGGCCAAGGTAGAAAGATTGCTTGAGGCCAGGAGCTCAAGACCAGTCTGGGCAACATGGTAAGACCCCTGTCTCTACCGAAAATTTTAAAATGAGCCACGCATGGTGACACATGCCTGTAGTCTTATCTACTTAAGAGGCTGAGGCAGGAGGATTGCTTGAGCTCAGGTGTTTGAGGTTTCAGTGTGGTATGATGATGCCACTGCACTCTACCCAGCCAGTAGAGCAAGACCCTGTCTCTAAAGATAAAAATTGAAGGCTTTTGAATAATTTTTTTTTTTTACTTTTTTTTTTTTTTCAACCCTAGCCAATACTTTCATGAATAATTTTAATGATATATAATTGACATATAATGAGCTGTACATTTTTAAAGTGTACAATTTGTCAAGTTTTGACTTAATATATATACTCATAAAACGATCACCATTAGCAAGATACTGAACGTTTCCATCAATACCAAAAGTCTTCTTGTTCCCCTTTACAGTTTGTTTCTACCTTCACCCCCACTTTCTGTCATTGCATATTAGGTTGCATTTTCTAGAATTTTATATAAATAGAATGTTATAGTATATACTTTTAAGATCTGGCTTCATTCACTTAGCATAATAATTTTGAGATTTATCAATGTTGCATGTATCAGTAGTTTATTACTTTTTATTGGTGAATATGTATGAATGTGCCACGATTTTCTTATCCATTTGTCTCTTGATCGACAGTTGGGTTGATTCCAGTTTTGGGCTATTATAAATAAAGCTGTGAATGTTTATGTCCAGGTCAGTGTTTTTATTTTCCTTGAAAATACCTAGTAGTGGAATAGCTGGGATATGGATTAGATGCATATTTAACTTTTTTTTTTTTTTTTTTTTTTGAGACAGAGTCTCACTTTGTTGCCCAGGCTAGAGTGAGTGCCGTGGCGTCAGCCTGGCTCACAGCAACCTCAATCTCCGGGGCTCAGCAATCCTACTGCCTCAGCCTCCCGAGTAGCTGGGACTACAGGCATGCGCCACCATGCCCGGCTAAGTTTTTGTATATATATATTTTTAGTTGGTCAATTAATTTCTTTCTATTTTTGGTAGAGACAGGGTCTCGCTCAGGCTGGTTTTGAACTCCTGACCTTGAGCAATCCGCCCGCCTCGGCCTCCCAAAGTGCTAGGATTACAGGCGTGAGCCACCGCGCCCGGCGCATATTTAACTTTATAAGAAACTGCCAGACTGTTTTTCAAAGTGTTTGTACCATTTTACTTTTACATTAGCAGTTTATGAGAATTCCACTTTTTCCATATATTGACAACATGTGATATAGTCAGTTTTTAATTTTAGGTAGTATTCAACTATAAGTATGTTAGCTGAAGGATTTTATTTTATATTTTTTTTGTAGATGTCCTTTATCAGATTGAGGAACTTTCTTAATATTCCTAGTTTACTGAGTGTTTTTATCATGAATAGGTATTATATTTGTTAAATACTTTTCTGCATCTATTAAAAAGTCTTACGGCTTTTCCTCTTTATTATTTGGTAATTACATTGATTTAAAGTAAAGTGTTAAGCTAGTCTTTCATTCCTGAGATAAATCCTACTTGGTCTTGCTTTTTTTCTTTTTTGTTTCATTGAGTTTCTGCCCCAGGAATGGTCCCTTTTATATATTGTTGGATTCAGTTTGCTAATCTTTTTCTACAGATGTTTGCATCTATATTCATATTGGTCTGAATTTTTTTTTGTTCCTTTTTGCAATGTCTTTGTCAGGTTTGGTATTAGGGCTCTATCAGCCTCGTAATATTAGTTGGAAAGTATCCTTTTGTTCTCTATGCAAAAGAATTATGAAAATTCTTTTTTGAATATTTGTTAGAATTTACTCAGAATTCATCTAGGCCTAGAGTCTTCTTTTTACAAAGGAATTTGATAAATTTTAATTTTGTTAGATACATGGCTCTTCCCTGTTTTTTCTTATGTCAATTTTGATAAATTGTATATTTTTTAAAATTTGTCCATTTTATCTAAGGTATGGAATTTGTTGGTATAATGCTTTTAAAGTATTCTCTCTTGTTATCTGTTTGATGTCTGTAGCAACAGTCCCCAACCTTTTTAGTACCAGGGACCAGTTTTGTGGAAGCCAATTTTTCCACAGGGACTAGGGATGGTTTCAGGCTGACTGAAGCACATTACATTTATTGTGCAGTCAAATGTCTCAGGTAATGATAATGTGTATTTGCAGCTGCTCCCCAGCGCTAGCATCACCGCCTCAGCTCCACATCACATTATCAGGCATTAGATTCTCATAAGGACTGCATAACCTAGATCCCTCGCATGCACAGTTTACACAGGGGTTCGGCTCCTGTGAGAATCTGATGTCTCTATCGATCTGACAGGAGGTAGAGCTTATGTGGTGATGCGAGGATGGGAAGTATCTGTAAATACAGATTTCCCCTCCCCTTACCTCCCTTCCCCTTTCTTTCTGTCCCTTTCTTTCTTCTCTTAAACAACAGAAATATTTTCTCCTAGTTCTTGAGCCTGGGAGTCCAAGATCAATGTGTCATTAGGTTTTGTTTCTTTTGAGGCCTCTCTCCTTGGCTCCCAAATGGCCGCCTTTTTTTTTTTCTTTGAGACAGAGTCTCACTCTGTTGCCTGGGCTAGAGTGCCTTTGGCTGTGGCATCAGCCTAGCTCACAGCAACCTCAGACTCCTGGGCTCAAGCAATCCTCCTGCCTCAGCCTCCCAAGTAGTTGGGACTACAAGCATGTGCCACCATGCCCGGCTAATTTTTTCTATATATTTTTAGTTGGCCAATTATATCTTTGTATTTTTAGTAGAGACAGGGTCTCGCTCTTGCTCAGGCTGGTTTCGAACTCCTGACCTGGAGCGATCCGCCCGCCTCAACCTCCCAGAGTGCTGGGATTACAGGTGTGAGCCACTGTGCCTGGCCACGGCCACCTTCTTGATGTGTCATTGCATACTCTTTCCTCTGAACATATTCTTGGCATCTCCCCTTTTTCTTCATAGCTGAATCTTTTTCAGTTTGATTCACAATAACTTTCTTAACCACTTTCATATTCATGAATATTTGGTGGTTTTGTACTATTGCATCATAAATCACCCTTTAGAGCATGTATCTTTGTATACATCTCATTGTCTTTTTATGTTAAATTCCCAAAGTGGAATTTCTGGGGTCAAATCATATTTTTGAGATTTCTGGTACATTTGGAGTTACCTTCCAAGAAAGACTGCCACAGTGTATACTCACAAAAACTTTGTATAAAGGGTGTATTTCTCTGCACTCTTGCAATCCTAGTTATACTGTTATTTATTTAAGCTTTATCAGTTTTATAGGCAGAATATTGACATTTTTTTTCTCTCCATCATCTTGTATTTTTAAAGGGGAAATACTGACATTTTTATTTCTAAGTTTTTGATAATTACTGAGGTTAGATTTTTTCTCAGCTATTTCATATTTCATTTGTGAATTACTTAAGGATTTTTTCTCTTTGAGAGGTATTTGGATTTTCTTAATTATCAGAGCTCTTAGATGAAAAATACCTCTTTTCATAAGTATTGCAACTGCTTTTCCCATTTTGCCATTTGCCTTTTACTTTTGTATATAGTGCCTTGTTTTTTTTTTTGAGACAGAGTCTCGCTTTGTTGCCTAGGCTAGAGTGAGTGCCATGGCGTCAGCCTAGCTCACAGCAACCTCAAACTCCTGGGCTCAAGCAATCCTCCTGCCTCAGCCTCCCGAGTAGCTGGGACTACAGGCATGCACCGCCATGCCCAGCAATCTGCCCACTTCGGCCTCCCAGAGTGCTAGGATTACAGGCGTGAGCCACTGCGCCCGGCCAAGTCCTGTAGTTTCTTGATATCAGTTTTAGTTATAATGAACTGAGACTACATATTCAATTTTAGTTATTAAGATTTAAACTTCTTTTTTGACACATCTGAAAAATTCTTTGTTCCTTCATTCTTCATGAACAGTCTTGGAGAAGTTGTATTTAGTTACATGGCTTGATCAGGTTGACTTTGTAAATTTCTTACTCAAAGTGCTTAATTATGGCTTGCTGAAATAGTTCCTCTACCTGAATCTGATATTCCTAAATGAGACCCTTGTGTCTGATGGGATTTTATTCACTTTTATTTATTACTAGGATAAAGATAACCACAATTTATTAAGAATTTACTATATACTGTATAGTAAGGACTTCATAAGCATTAATTTAATCCGTTAACAACCCTGTGAGGTAGACATTACTTACTTTCTCTGTTTTATGGATAAAGAAGCTGACACTCAGGGACATTAAGTAGAGGCAGGTAGCTGGATATTGAATCCTGGTTTCTCTAATTCCAGAGCTTGGACGCTTAACATAATAATTTGCCTGACTATATTTTACTTGTTTAGGGTAATTATTTTTTTAGGATATAGATGAGAAGCCTTTAAAACATTTTTCCCTCTTTTTACTGAGGTATACTGAAAGCTACTCTGATGATGATTCAAATGTGGAAGATTACCCAGATCCACAGGTAAGCCAAACATTTAATGGGGCCACTTTGATTTTTTCTTTTAATCATTATGATCCTTCCCTTAGAAAAAGATCAGTAAAGGACAGAATGAGCTGGGTGAGCTGGCTCAAACCTGTAATCCTAGCAGTCTGGGAGGCCGAGGCAGGAGGATCTCTCAGGGTCAGGAGTTTGAAACCAGCCTGAGCAAGAGTGAGACACCGTCTCTACTAAAAAAGTAGAAAGAAATAATAGACCAACTAAAAATATATAGAAAAAATTAGCCAGTCGTGGTGGCGCATGCCTGTAGTCCCAGCTACTCGGGAGGCTGAGGCAGTAAGATCGCTTGAGCCCAGGAGTTTGAGGTTGCTGTGAGCTAGGCTGACGCCATAGCACTCTAGCCCGGGCAACACAGTGAGACTCTGTCTGAAAAAAAAAGAATAGAATGAAAGACTCTGGACATGTTCATGACGGATTAGCCATCCTTCCAGTATTTGTGTTTATGGTCAGTTATACAAGGAAAAATAAGGGAAGAGAATAGCCAGAAATAAGGGCAGACAGGAGTAGAAAGGGGAGTTTGCAGTAAAAATGGACAAAGGGATATATATTTTTTTTTCCAGAAGCTACCATTATTGATGAATAGGCTTGATTAAAGGGAAGTATGGAGGTAATATAGTCATCCCTCAGTATTCAGGGGGAATTGGTCCCAGGAACCCCACCATGGACACCAAAATACACAAATGCTCAAGTCTGTTATATAAAATGGTATAGTATTTGCATATAACCTACGCACATCCTCCTGTGTACTGTTTTTTTTTTGAGACAGAGTCTCAGTCTGTTACCCAGGCTAAAGTGCCGTGGCATCAGCCTAGCTCACGGCAACCTCAAACTCCTGGGCTCAAGCAGTCCTCCTGCCTCAGCCTCCCGAGTAGCTGGGACTACAGGCATGCGCCACCATGCCTGGCTAATTTTTTGTATATATTTTTAGTTGGCCGATTAATTTGTTTCCATTTTTAGTAGAGATGGGGTCTCGCTCTTGCTCAGGCTGGTCTCGAACTCTTGACCTCGAGCTATCTGCCCGCCTCAGCCTCCCAGAGTGCTAGGATTACAGGCGTGAGCCACGGCGCCCGGCCTCTCCTGTATACTGTTAATCATCTTTTTTTTTTTTTATTTTTTTTTTACTGTTAATCATCTTTAGGTTACTTATACCAAATACAGGGTAAATGCTATGTAACTAGTTAATTATACTGTATTGGTTTTTTATTTATATTATCTTTTATTTTATCTTTTTATATTATTTTATTTTATCTATTTTATCTATTTATATTATCTTTTATTGTTGTATTATTATTTTTTTAACTTATTTTTGAGACAGAATCTGTGTTGCCTAGGCTAGAGTGCAGTAGTGTGCTTATAGTTCACTACAACCGCAAACTCCGGGGTTCCAGCAATCCTCCTGCCTCAGCCTCCCATGTAGCTGTGACTACAGGCGCATGCCACCATGCTTGGCTAATTTTTCTGTTTTTCGTAGTGGCGGGATCTTGCTCTTGGTCAGGTTGGTCTTGAACTCCTGGCCTCAAGCAATCCTCCTGGATTAGAGGTGTGAGCCACAGCACCTGTCTGTATTATTATTATTATTTTCTCGTAGAGATGGGGTCTCACTCTTGCTGGTTTCAAACTCTTGACCTGAAACAATCCGCCTGCCTCGGCCTCCCAAAATGTTAGGATAACAGGTGAGAGCCACCATGCCCAGCCTGTATTGTTATTTTTTATTTCTTTATTTTTTTTTAATATTTTCAATCTAAGGTTGGTTGAATCCATGGATGCAAAATCTCAGATACAGAGGGCCAATTGTATGTCAGATTATTTATAACTTGCTCTCTCTTTTTTTCCCTTGCTAAATCAGTTTTTGAAGTGATTGACAAAGTAGTGGTGATTGGCCTGGCATGGTGGCTCACACCTGTAATCCTAGCACTCTGGGAGGCTGAAGTAGGAAGATTGCTTGAGGCCAGGAGTTTGACACCAACCTGACCAGGAGCAAGACCCTATCTTTACAAAAAATTTAAAAATTAGCAGGGTGTGGTGCTGTGCATGTGTAGTCCCAGCTACTCAGGGGGCTGAGGCAGGAGGATCACTTGAGCCCAGGAGTTTGGAGTTGCGGTGAGCTATGATGATGCCACTGCATTCTAGCCCGGGCAACAGAGCAACACTCTGTCTCAATTAAAAAAAAAAAAAAGTAGTGATGATAGTTATATTTGATCTAGTTTTAAGTTGATGGATAGTAGTGTTCTCATTGACTACCGGCTCATTTTCCTACTACCTTATTATATTTTTTTTAAGTGATCATACTTGGCCAGATGTGGTATTTTATACCTATAATTCCAGCACTTTGGGAGACTAAGGTGGGAGGATGGCTTGAGGCTAGGAGTTGAGACCAGCCTGGGCAACATTAATATGAGACCCTATCTCTAAGAAAAATACTTCTGGCTGGGCATGACGGCTCATGCCTGTAATCCTAGCACTCTGGGAGGCTGAGGCGGATGGATTGTTTTTAGCTCAGGAGTTCGAGACAAGCCTGAGCAAGAGCAAGACCTTGTCTCTACCAAAAATAGAAAAAATTAGCTGGGCATGGTGGCACATACCTGTAGTCCCAGCTACTAAGGAGGCTGAGGCAGAAGGATTGCTTGAGCCCAGGTTTGTTTTTGGTTTTTTTGAGACAAGAGTCTCACTCTGTTGCCCAGGCTAGAGTACCGTGGCATCAGCCTAGCTCACAGCAACCTCAAACTCCTGGGCTCAGGCAGTCCTTCTGCCTCAGCCTCCCAAGTAGCTGGGAATTCAGGCATGTACCACCATGCCCAGCTAATTTTTTCTATATATTTTTAGTTGACCAATTAATGTCTTTCTATTTTTAGTAGAGATGTGGTATCACTCTTGCTCAAGCTGCTTGCGAACTCCTGACCTCGAGCGATCCTCCTGCCTCGGCCTCCAAGAGTGCTAGGATTACAGGCATGAGCCACCTTGCCCAGCTGAGCTCAGGAGTTTGAGGTTGCTGCGAGCTAGGCTGACACCAGGGCACTAGTCTAGCTGGGGCAACAGAGTGAGACTTTGTCAGGAAGGAAGGAAGGGAGGGAGGGAGGGAGGGATTCTGAGGATTAGCTAGGCATGATTGTATGCAGGGAGGGAGGGAGGGAAGGATTCTAAGAATGAGCTAGGCATGGTGGCATGCACCTGTAGTCCCAGCTACTCAGGAGAGGGAGGAAGGGAGGGAGGGATTCTAAGAATTAGCTAAGCATGGTGGCAGGCATCTGTAGTCCCAGCTACTCAGGAGACTGTGGTGGGAGAATCACTTGAGCCCAAGGGTTTGAGGCTACAGTGAACTATGATTATGCCACTGTACTCTATCCTTGGTGGCAGAGTGAGATCTTGTCAGTAAAAAAAAAATGACTATACTCATTTGATTTTATTTAATTATCACTTATGAATTTATTATCTATTAACTTGAAGTAGTGGTGAGGGTACATCTTTTTGAATAGTAAATGCTTGTTTATGAATCATTGCGAACTCCTGTATATTCTGATGGTAAACATAGTGAGAGAAGTTGTTGAAAGCAGAGTTTAGAAAATTTTAGTATGGGCAGTGGAACTTTCATGAGTACCTATTAATTTATGCTAAAATCATGTTTCATGTTTCTGCCAGTCAGCAAATCACATGAACAGTTCCCTGCTCTCGTTATATCGGAAAGGAAATCCTGATTCTGTTTCAAATACTTCTGAGATGGAGCAAAGAGAAACCATCATTTCAACACCACAGATCACTTCCAAAACAGGCTCCATTTCTTTGAAGACACCTGCCAGAGATTCTGAGGGAGGATGGTTTATTGACAAAACACCCGGTGGAAAGAAAGACAGTTTTTCCTTGGACCTATCATGTGAGAAAAGTAATCATAAGAAGCCAATAACTGAAATACAGGTATTTTTGCAGTGAAATTTTAGCTCCACATAGATGAAGTACATTACAACATTTTTACTGAATATAATAACAAGCAGATATGTGTGTTTTGTAGAAGTTTTGAAGTACACACAGAATTTTATCACTTCACAGGATTTGCCCTTGTTTTTATCCTGTTCTAAGCCTCCACTCTTCCGTGTTTTACGTGTTGAAATAGCCTTCCATGCCAGGCGCTGTGGGTCACGCCTGTAGTCCTAGCACTCTGGGAGGCCAAGGCGGGTGGATCATTTGAGCTCAGGAGTTCAAGAGGAGCCTGAGCAAGAGCGTGACCCCATTTTTACTAAAAATAGAAAGAAATTAATTGGCCAACTAAAAATATATAAAAAATTAGCCGGGCATGGTGACGCATGCCTGTAGTCCCAGCTACTTGGGAGGCTGAGGCAGGAGGCTTGCTTGTGCCCAGGAATTTGAGGTTGTTGTGATCGAGGCTGACGCCAGCCAGAGTCTGTCCGTTCTTGTTCCCTTAGTTTATTCTTCATACAGAGATATCTTTTTTATAAGTTAAGTCAGGTCATTTTCATTCTTCTATTTTAAAAACCTTCAGTGGCTTCATTTAGTCTCAAATGCAAAGATCTTGCAATTGTCAGTAATGCCCTTTATGATTTGGCTGCCCTGCTGCCTCTTTCATCTCTGCTACTATCCTCTTAGATCTGTGAATCTGTTTTTTTCAACTGTAAATTTGAAAAACTAATACCAGTTAAGTGTTTTCATTGAAAATTTAGCATCCAAATTGAGATGTGCTATAAACTTGAAGTATACATTAGACTTTGAAGATTTATTACTATAAAAAACAGAATGTAGAACATCCCATTAATAATTTTTTATATTTCCTATATGTATGTGATTCATATTATACATATCTTGTACAATGATGCTTTAAGTGGTTTCTGACAACCAAGTCCTTTGATTTGGCAGAAGCTTTCCCCTTTTGAGTTACTAATGGGCCTTTTCCAAATCTCTTTGTTTAATCGTCCATCTATAGAGAACATTATTATGATTGGCAAGAACTTGACTCTTATGTTGAATTATACTTTATTATTATTTATAGACAAGCTCTCACTATGTTGCCCAGGCTAGAGTGCAGTGGCTGTTCACAGGCACAATTATAGCACACTACAGCTTGAACTCCTGGACTCAAGTAATCCTTTCACCTCAGTGTCCCAAGTAGCTGCGACCAAAGGCACGTGTCCCTGTGCCTGGCTGAATTATACTTTTTTATGGCTGTCAAAGCAGCACTATAGTCATATGTTATTTAGTGAACCATCAGTTATCAGATGAACACCAACTATGTAGAAGACTGAGAAATAAAAAGTGAATATCAGCATCCTAAATCAAGAAGCTCACAATTCAATGAGAGAGACATAGATAAATGAATCACTCAAATATAAGGCAGATTATGATAGCCTATAATATATTTGCAAATGCAGTTTTCTGGGGGTGTGAGGAAGAGATTAAATATAACTGAAAGAATTTGGAAAGAAAGTTTTCAAATGTTAGGATTTAGACTGAGATTTATAGCAATAGGGAAGGAGGACATTTCCAGTAGACAGCATTCTTGAGCAAAGAGGTTGGGAATAGTTAACAGAGGTAAAACTGCTAGGCCAGAAATGGATTTTTTTTATAATGCCCATCTTGTAAAATCAATTATTGGCATTATAATTTTAATCATGGCATATTTAAATTTATTTTCTTTCTAGGATTCAAAAGATTCTTCTCTTTTGGAGAGTGATAAAAAAATGAAAGACAGGCTGAGGAACAAAGGAAACAAAAGGAAGAAAGAAGATCTTCAGGAAGTCGATGGAGAAATTGAAGCCATCCTGCAAAAGAAAGGTGAGATGCAGGTCTTGTGGTGGCAGTGGTCATGTTTGCTTTGAAAGAGGCACCACTTTATTCCAAGCTGTTTTTCTTGAGGGACCTTCTATGTGCAGAAAAGTTTATTAGAAAACATTTCTGTATTTGATGGACCTTCTTTGTTTACTTAAAGACTGTTAAATATAATTATAAGTTACTACTGAATCACTAATCTTTTCACCTCCCTTTTTATTTACTAGCAAAAGCCAGAGGGCTAGAATTCCAGGTCTCCAGTGTGAAATTTGAAGATGTTGGAGGCAGTGATACAACACTAAAAGTTAGTTCAAATTCAGAATTTTACCTCAGATGTGTATATTGCTAACAACTTATGCAAACAGAGCTTACCTCTTTGTTTCTAATATGAACTGGGTGTAGAAAAGGAAACTGGGAAGGTGAAGGGGCAAACCTGACCTGTCCCCTTAAGAATATTGAGAGGGATAAGAATTATACTGTCTTTAACTTTTTCACCATTTACATTATAGTATACAAGCTACATGCTTTATAAGTAATATTGTCTTAACAGTATTAATAGTAATTATAAGTGTTTATTTTATTTTTTTTTAAGACAGAGTCTCACTTTTGTTGCCCAGGCTATATATATATTAGTTGGCCAATTAATTTCTTTCTATTTATAGTAGAGACGGGGTCTTGCTCTTGCTCAGGCTGGTTTTGAACTCCTGACCTTGAGCAATCCACCCACCTCGGCCTCCCAGAGTGCTAGGATTACAGGCTTGAGCCACCCACCGCAACCGGCCTATAACTGTTTATTTTTAATGTCTATTCTGTTCCAGTTACCATGCTAATTAATTTTTATCACATCTTTTTTTTTTTTTTTTGAGACAGAGTCTCACGCTGTTTTCTGGGCTAGAGTCCTGTGACATCAGCTTAGCTTAAGCAACCTCAAACTCCTGGGCTCAAATAATCCTTCTGCCTCAGCCTCCCAAATAGCTAGGACTACAAGCATGTGCCACCATGCCTGGCTAATTTTTCATGTGTGTGTGTGTATGTATGTGTGTGTGTGTATATATATATATATACACATTCATACATGTGTGTATGTATGTGTGTGTGTGTATATATATATATACACATACATACATACATATATATATATATACACACATACATACATATATATATATATTGTTTTTTCTTTTTAGTTGTCCAGCTAATTTCTATTTTTAGTAGAGATGGGGTCTTGCTCTTGCTCAGGCTGGTCTTGAACTCCTGAGCTCAAACAATCCACCAGCCTCAGCCTCCCAGAGTGCCAGGATTACAGGTGTGAACCACCATGCCGGGCCTTCATTACATCTTCAAGGTAGATAATATCATGTCTTAGGAAATGGAAGCTCAGAGAGGTTATTGCCGAAGTCAGACAGTAGGTACCAGCATCAGGATTCAAACTCAGGTCTCTTGGCCTTTAGCCTATACTCTGTCAACTCTATTTTGTTGCTCCAAAAAGTTGGACATTTCATTCTACTTTGATTCTTTCTGTCTTAAAAGACATCTTTTGTGCTTATTCCCTGCTAGGAAGTCTGCAAGTTGCTTATACATATGCGTCACCCAGAGGTGTACCACCACCTAGGTGTCGTGCCCCCTCGTGGAGTCCTTCTTCATGGGCCCCCAGGCTGTGGGAAGACATTACTTGCACATGCAATTGCTGGGGTGAGGCTTGCTATAACACTTTGTTTTTGCTATTTTTGTTGTTAATATTTGTTATTCTTTTTTCTCTTTGGTCAACTTAAACCAGACCTGGCATCTATAAGGAAGAGAATACGGCCATTGAAAACTGATCCTTTCTTCATTATTATACCTCTTTCATACTGCTATTTTCGGGATTTATTTTTTAATGTATATAATTATTTATATGGCAAGGGTTGAGTGGAAAGTAAAATAATATAGTTTTAAACAACTCTTTTTTTAACATGTGGTTTACATTTTAGTTACTTTTCTTCTATTGATACTTTAACCCAGTGGTTCTTAAAAGCAGTAAAATAAGAAAACTAAAGATAGTATTGTTGTTTATAGAATTAAATTTATTCAGAATTTCCATTTAGGGTCATGTACTTATACTTTTTAGTGTTAACTTGTCTTTTCTAAAATGGTAATAATAGACACTCAGTTTGACAAAATAAAAAGTTAGCAATCTCGTTTTAGCCCTCTTAGATTTTTTAGAAACTGTATTAGATGGTAAAATGCAAAATACGTAACTTTAAGAATGCATACTATACCACTCTAATAGATTAATGCTTAATGAAAGGAAATCATTGGTAAAGGGGAATTTGATTGGTTTGCTTCATTTTCATTGAATAAATCTATTGCATGACTGCTGTATGCCAGACATTGGAATATAGTGTTAAGTACCACAATCCTAGTTCTAATATGAGAGACATTAAACAGTCATTCATATAAACAAATGCTGTACAAAGTAGCAGTTGTGGTAAATGGCAAACAGCAATTTAAATGCTATGTGGTATATTGGCATATCCAAGTTAGAGTTGGGAATCAAAGAAAGTATGATTGAAAAAGTGAAATTTCAGGCTAGCCAGAAGAATCCTGGAGTTAGCCAGGATTGTTGCCATGTGTATTGATGAGACAGCAATAGTTTCTCTTCCTTTTCTTAAACAGCCTCCCTCTCTGAGTAGCAACAGGCTAGCCCGCGTGCGTGCGTGTGTGTACACGTGTACATCTGTTATAACCCCTGCTATTTCCTATTCAGCGGATGAATAACAGATTTTGGGAAAATATGTCTTAAGAGCCAAGCCCCTTTATTCAAAAGAGATAACAGAGTTCTATAGTGATATCTATAATGTAAAAACAAGTAGAATGTATCTCCTTAATGTATATGTATAAAACCTTAGGTTTTGTTTGTTTGTTTGTTTTGTGACAGGGTCTCACTCTGTTGCCTGGGCTAGAGTGCCGTGGCATCAGCCTAGCTCACAGCAACCTCAAACTCCTGGGCTCCAGTGATCCTTCTGCCTCAGCCTCCCGAGTAGCTGGGACTACAGGCATGCGCCACCATGCCCAGCTAATTTTTTCTGTATATATTTTTAGTTGTCCAGATAATTTCTTTCTATTTTTAGTAGAGACGGCATCTTGTTCTTGGTCAGGCTGGTCTCAAATTCCTGAGCTCAAACAGTTCACCCGCCTCAGCCTCCCAGAGTGCTAGGATTACAGTCATGAGCCACCACGCCTGGCCCAAACCATAGGTTGTTTTTTTTTGAGGCAGAGTCTCACTTTTGTTGCCCAGGCTAGAGTGAGTGCTGTGGCGTCAGCCTAGCTCACAGCAACCTCAAACTCCTGGGCTCAAGCTATCCTTCTGCCTCAGCCTCCCTAGTAGCTGGAACTACAGCCGTGCGCCACCATGCCCGGCTAAGTTTTTCTATATATATTACTTGGCCAATTAATTTATTTCTATTTATAGTAGAGACGGGTTCTTACTCTTAACTCAGGATGGTTTTGAACTCCTGACCTCGAGCAATCCGCCCACCTCTGCCTCCCAGAGTGCTAGGATTACAGGCATGAGCCACCACACCTGGCCAACCATAGGTTTTTAAGTAGTGTTTTTTATTGGACCAACACAAAAAAAAGGTCAAGTTCCTCAGGAAATTAGCCATTTTAAAAATCTAATTTTGAGAGGACTAAATAAAGAAAACATAGGGAAATTGAAAGTTGAATATTTGTTTTCTTTTATATATTTGCACATAGGAACTTGACCTGCCAGTTCTGAAAGTGGCTGCTCCAGAGATTGTGTCTGGAGTATCTGGAGAGTCTGAGCAGAAGTTGAGAGAACTGTTTGAACAAGCTGTGGTGAGTCAGCCAGTGACTAATGCTGAGTTGTCAGATGTTATAAGGTTTTATTAAAGGTCCTGTTGTTTTGATGCTAGTATTTGTTAACCCATTCACTGATCATTCTTTTATAAACATGCTAATTTGCTACACATTAGGGCTAAACATTTAAAGTAGATTTAATGATCCAGACTCTTGGAGAAATAGTCTATTTCATTTAAAACATGAATATAACTGGTGAGAAGTTCTAGGTTGTCATACCCAGTAGTTATATGTAGAAAATACATTATTCCTGAGGGGGGCAAGAGCAATATATGTAACCTTAACACTTGTACCCCCCTAATACACTAAAATAAATTTTAAAAAAAGAAAATACATTATTCTTGTGATATTTTTATTTGCTTTTACTTTCCTTGATTTAGTGTGACCAGAAAACTTACAAGCAATGTGAAATTTGTTAATATTTAGGATTATCACATCATAAAAAGCAACCATAAAAATGCCAGGATAAAATCTCTCGGTTTCCTTACTACTAAACTGGGGTAATAACAATACCCAAATCTCACACTGTTATTGAGAGGATTAAATGAAAGAATTTTTCTAAAACCTTTAACATAGTGCCTTGCACAAGGCAAAAGCCCTATAAATATTAGCTATGGCATTGTATACACCTACACAGATACCAGTGATCACTGTAACTAAAACGAAAAAATGGTAAAAAGTATAATTTTGTCTTTATTTACACCAAAAATATATAGTGGCTAATAAACATGGCCAATGTTTATTTACTAGAAGCCAATGTGAAATTAGAAGAGAAATTGTGTCTTAGCAGTAATTGAGAAAAAAAATTTCAATAGCAAGACTGGAGAGACCATCTATACTTGATTTGTTGTGTAGACTGGCATTGGGAAAGGTCTGGGCACCACAGGAGTATGCAGAGAAAGGGTGGGAAGGGCAGTGTGCAAAGCAAAACTGAGCACTTTCAGGTGTTAACCTGCTCTGCAAAATATGCTTGATTCAGTTGTTAAATTGGCATGCATAGCCTCAGCACAAGTGGTAAACTTTGTGTGCATGGTAAACTCAATGATGAATAAGGATAAAAGCAACAAATAGAATCTTTAGTTTGTTAGTTCCAGATTCAAGTCTCTCTAAACCAGTACTAGACAGTAGATGCTCAGTAAATACATGATGTAGCACCTCCGTTTCCCTTGTCCCCTCTTCCCTAATGAGAGTGAGTTAGATAAAGTATGTGGATCAGAGAACAAAAAGGTCAAACCAAATCAAGGGGTTCCTTATTGAAAATTTTTTTTTTTTTTTTTTTTTTTTTTTTTTTTTTTTTTTTTTTTTTTTGCTTCCACATATGAATGAGAACATGTGGTGTTTAACTTTCTGTTCCTAGCTTTGCCTCCAGTACCATCCATGTTGTGGCAAATGACAGATTTCATTCTTTTTTATGACTGAATAATATTCCATGGTGTATATATATACCAAATTTTCTTTATCTACTCATTTGTTTTTGGACATCTAGATTGATTCCATATCATGGCTATTGTGAAGAGTGCTGAAAGACACATGGGAGTGCAGATATTTTTTCAATATAATTTCTTTTCCTTTGGAAAAATTTCCAGTAATGGGATTGCTGGGTCATAGGTAGCTCTATTTGTAGTTTTTTTTGAGGAAACT